ATACAAAATTCCCTAAAGTAAGTGGTAGACTATGTAGTTATCAACGAATATCCAGGGGGATGTAGTTCCTTCGAGGTTGTAGTTAGCCCCTATTGATAAGTGCTAGTCAACACAAAACCTTGATCCAGTAGCTCTTGCTGACTCCCTTCAAACGCATAAAACTAATGTCAACAATTAAACTTGAGTTACATTTTGATGTAATCAATAGTTTTATTACTCAGTTATTTTACTAGTGACTGAGGAACTAGCTCACCCACTGATGAACAGCAAGTAGCCAGTACAAGACAAGTAACGCGACTTTTTAGCCATCAGTGTTTGTTGATCAGAGTTTGTCAATCGAGCTAGGAACATTACATTATGTGTATATATTTATCCTAGTGGGTGCAGTTAGACAAATAAAAAGGGAACTGGGACAATGGGAAGTGGAAAATAAATATCGAGATATATACTTTATTCTCAAGTTATTTTTAGTGGTTCTCTAACCGACATCCTTTGTTTGACACCCAGGAGTCATTATAACAGCAGTATGAATCATTTAAAAAGTTAGAGTATTTGAAGACGATGATAACATAAAAATTTGATTTATTTGATTACTTCCTTATAGATGAATTGGGTTTTTCTATTTGAAACCGTTAGGTCGATCACTAAATTAAGGGTTTAACTGTCTGATTAACAACATAATTTATTTAGATGTCGTTATGCGGAATGTAATCATAGTAACGAAGTTATAGAACTCCTGACCCTATTTTTTACGATACCTCATTGAGCTACTTACAAATATTAAAGTAGTCAAAGTAATAAGCTTAAATAGGGGTGTGATAATCATATATAATACAATGTTTATCGAAACGTCTAGTAAAACGCATAGAAAAGCTGGTGGCTTAAATTGCGCTGCAGTCCTGATGATCAACAACTTATTTCGATTTAATGACCTTTTTCTAATGAAACTGTAAATGGATAAAGTCTTCTGGGAAACAAATGTCATCTTATAATATTTATTCTGTTTTCTAATCTCACTTGTTTGCTTATTTAGCCGTTAAATTTAACACTATTCTCATTGCAGTGGCATTAACAGATATCACTTGGAATCTAAATGAAGACAAAAAATGAAAATCCCAATGCATATACTTCATCATTTAAAAGCAAAAATTATGAAATCGAATAGTTAAGATCACCAACTACATTTAGATGTGATATTATGTTTGTTAGCTTATTTGGAATATAACTCAACAGGTAGAATTTGAACGAAATGACGTTTGAGTTTGTCATATAACTAAACACACTTTATAGAATGGTAATTCTGCTAACTTAAGCTATGTTGCCAACAGTTCTCTCCAGACCCATTTTCCTTGTATAGGTGAGATTTCACCTGTCCAAAGTCATATATTAATTGCTAAATGACATCCACTAGGACTAATTCATGCAAGGTTTCGCCATTCTTAAGATACTCATATACTTCAGAAAAGTGGGTATTTTGGGTAGTATGGAGTTCTAGAGTAATCTATGTACCTGAGAAATTACACAGTGAGGGCATTATTTACTGGATTTTTTCAAAAATTTATTGTGTTGTCTCAGCCTACTGAAATAATTTAAAAGTAGCTGAGTTAGTTAATAAAAGTAAAGCGTGTCATCTGTTTCAGCATTTAGAGGAAAAACGGTGTAGTGGCATTTATCCAAGTTAGATTAATAAACCTCTTTTAAATCTACTGGATTCGAACGAAATCTATATGCAAGATATGCTGAAGCATACTAATTCACCTGGAGGTTTAGATACACACTGTATGAAGAGCTCTTCTGAAATTACTGCTACAATATACAGTACTACAGTTGGCTTTATTCGCATATTATTTAAGCCGATTCTCACTAATCCCCTTGGTTTTTTCACTAATTCAGAATACTGATAAAATTTTCTGTGCACCTTAGCATTCAAGCAGGGAAAATCCTTTAAGATAATTGTAGCATGTTTAGAGAAGCCAGATTTTTTCTGAATAATTCGCGACGTGGGCGAGAGCTTCTACGGCAGAATCACTCAAATTTCAATAAACATCAGTAAATATAGACAAATGTAATTGAATATTTGTTTAACTATTGACGCCCCACAATTTTCAACTGTTCAACTGAAGTGACTTAAATAATCTAGATATTAGGTAAATGGTGCATGCCATTCGAATACTTTTATCTCAAAATATGGGAAAAACAAAATGAAGGTGTTTTGATGTCAACTACCAGCAGATTTTGCGGGGTAAAAGATACGCCTGAATTTATTAAATCTTAAATAATATAAGACAGTCAGTTTCAGCAAAGCGAAACTATTTGTACAAGAGACCTTAATGTGTAAATGATGTTTTTATGAATCTTCTGAAACCAAGTAATGGAACGTTCACAAAAGATCTTGCTTTCATTTTCCACCGTCGTGTTCACTGAATTCAATAGTTTAGATGCAACGAAGTCATTGTTCCAGAAAAAAATGTCTGCAGCCCCAACTTTACAGTAAATTTGTGGTAAGAGCTAGCTGCTAGCCGAATTGGTAGACAGTAATTTATGTCAATGTTTACGTTCCCAAAATTGGTCGTGAGAAAAATAAGAACAAAGACAGATTCAACAAGCAACCACAGCAGACTTTGCGTACGTGGATGCAATTTGCAGATAGATAATCTGAACTTCAATAAACGGCCACAAAGAGATGAAAGATTAATGTTCAATGAGAAACCACCAATCAGGAGACTGTGTTCGTTCGCTTACAATAATCTATAATAATGTACATGAAAATCTATGAATATCTGTTTATTTCCTTAATAAACGATCTGTAGCCTGGCCCTTGTCTTCTGTTGTTACAAAGTGACCTTTTAGAATTCTTGGCGTAAGAAATAGCTGTTTAACTGGCGTTGGTTATCTTTCGCGGTTTCTCATCCTTGTGTTCAACTGTATTTAGATTCATCGTATCATCAACCTTATAGTTGACCTAGTGATAGTATGACAGTGCCATTCGCTGATCAGTAAACTGAAACTGTATCCACATTTATGTTAATTGCAGGCTGATGTCGCTCCGATGCTATCAGGAATTCCCTGGCATTCCTCACTTTTCCTCTGTTTAGGAATTTCTATATCATCCCAGTTGAACAGTTGTCCACATGTACTGATACCAGTGAATTTATGCCAACCCTTTTAAACGCTAGCTTATTTTCATAGATATGAATATATGAAGAGGACATTTGTTTCGGCCAATGAACAGCTTTCCATGGTTGTTACAGCCTACATGACAGACGGTTTTACCTGATCTTCCTTTGCTGTTCTTTCGCTCTACATACTAGAAAGTGAAGTAAATGCGCTGATTTCTAGGCACCATCTATCTGGGCAGGTTTCAGTACTTAAGGAGAAATTTCAGAAGTGTTTCTTACATATGAGTAGACAATTCTATTTTGTAGTTCAGAAGGATGTTTAGGACCAGTCACTTGATAATGGCTGAGGTATTTCAGGACTGGTGTGTTGCAGTGTGCCTTTGCTCTCTTGAATAATGTTTTTATATAGTTTTTGTGCTCTAAGACTGTTTCTGTCATGTTTCATTATTTAATCGGTGCCATCTGGCGTTCTGCATAATTTAGTTCATAATTCTCCCTTACTTGTCTTGTTGATCAACAAATTTGAGAATGTAATTTTCTTGTCTGTTTCCTCTCCCATTGTAGGCAAGTCGGCAGCGTGCAAAAGCATGAAAGCACATTGTTGATCAGTTTATGAGCGCAATTCCAGTCACTTCTAATTATGACGCATTTGTTGTACAGGTAATGCAACGTACAAATAAAAGGGAATACAAAGCTAAAATTCCTCTGGAGACGATAAATCCCAGAGTTATTTCATTATGAAGTTGGTGCTAAAGATTTTGCTTGCAAGAAAAATGAAATCTTAGGAATTTTTCTATTCATCAAAGGGATATGGACTACAGACTTTATCCATTATTCCTTGCTTTCTTTTATCGAATGTAATTAACGACAAGAATCATATTATTGAATTATATGCTGAGAACAAACAGGAAACTCAGGGAAGCATTTAAAGTGAATATGAGAGTTATTCAAGGCTTCCTACTATCATCGATGATATTCCTGATTGTGGTGGACAGGATCATGCGAATTATCGTAGAGCATGAGATGGCATGAATACGATGAACTTATAAGAAGACTTTAGAAGACTTGAACTTTTCTGTTGATTTACATCTAACGTCGCACAAACTTGAGATTTACGGGTGAAAACCAACAATTTGGCAATATGAATTAGGGAATACAGGACTTCAAGCAGACGTAGAGAAGACAGAAGTTATGAAGATAACCAACCAACAACAACAAGCATCAATCGCGTCAGCTGGAAAAATTTCAGGGAAGTTATCTGTTTTACTTCACTTATCTAGCCAGCATAGTTTCAAATACAGGATGAGGATGTCAAAGGAAGTGTGGGAATATGCTGCAATCAGAATAAAAGAAAATATTCGGATTTCTAACACCAATATCAAGTCATTTCTTCTATGTGGTTCAGAGATTTGGCGTGCCATAAAAAGTATTTGGGACAGTCATTCATCAGCAGTTGCCTTCGCTCCATGATGAAGATTAGATGGCAAGAAGGGACCAGCAGCAGAAAGACGATGGCGGTTAACGAGGCAACCAAGAACCTGTCGTAAAGGGATATGTCCAGGGAAATGCGGATGGACTGAATATACTCTGAAGAGACCTCTGAGTGACATCGAGTGTCAGGATCGCGAGTAGATACTGAAAGGTCAACGATGAAATGGGCGTTCAAGGGTGATATGGAGGAGTGGGTGAGAAATTATTAGAAATCGTGCAACCAGGAAATGATGACTGCAGAGAACAGGGTTAAATAGAGACGTTCTAATGAACTCCTTTGTCTCAGTCAGAACCTAATAATAATGACGAGTATAACAATAAAATAATCACATGATAAATAAAAATTCATTTATATGCAAAAATAGATATACAGTAACTGAATTAACTTACTTAGACGAACTTCACGTTTATGACGGGTAAAATGTTGTTGAATATCATTCTGTGTTTTGACATTAAACGGTTGACCTGGCAAACTGAGATTAAACTGACCCGCATATAACCGTACAAAGATATTCATTTCAACAAACACCGTTAAGTGAAGTATCATAAATGCATTCACTAATGATTTTTTCATGATGCCAAAACAGCAGATGCGATAAGACCATAACATATTTTATTGGCTATTACTGAGTGCTCATTCATAGGCTGAGAAAACTTTCACTGAAAATTTGAAAATAAAAAAAACAAAACACGAATAAGGCATGCAACAAAATTGTTAAACAAGTGTTAAGGGAAAACAAGTACATTTCCTTAAGCTTGACTTTGAACAAGATGACAGAAAACTGATCTCACCTACAGATAAGAACACATCTATGGCAATTTTACCTCCACTTAAACGTAGAATCTCAGTACATAAAAACAATGTTTTTGAATTTCTAGCAGCTCAGTACTACTTTTGAAAATTAACGGCTTTGAGTAAATCCACTTGAATAACTCCCTGAAACACTAACCCTTCACTGCCACCCCCAACCTAAGCTTATGTTCCCCAACGAATAATAAGATAATCATGTCAGACTTGAATACTCAAATAGATGCATTTCCATTTCTGCTTCATTCAAATATCATTGTATGATAATATTATAAGTGGCCCGAGTAGGTCTTCAGTTTCACATATATTGTGTTTGGAATGTGAATTAAAAAATATTCAGTGTCTGAGTCTGTGTGTCGGTGGCACAGCGGTTATGACTCTCGCCGATCATGCACATGGTCCGGGGTTCGACCGCCTGCCAACGCAAACCTGATATCTATGATCGGCCTGCAAAATTTGGGCTACCGATATCAAAGCTGAAAATTCCATACTTGTACCGAAATACTGTGTGGAATTAAGCTATAATAAAAAAAATAACAAAAAATTCTCAGGTTGATGTATCGTTTCAAAAACAAATCATTGCTGAAAGGCATTTCTCAAGAGATGTGGGCGAGGGTTAATGGAAATATACGCACTACCGTTAGATGTGCAGTGATATCCCATCTATCACTAGTTAGTGAAGTAGATTCACTCTACCTTTACCCCGCTCACACATACATAATATCATTTGTGGGCGACTTGCATACATTTTTTGTGGTGTAGGCTTGTTTAGGGCCTTAGATATGGCTGATAGGCAAATGTCAGATTACTTCAACACTGACGTAGTTTTGCAGCACTGGTTTGTGCACTTGATGAAAGCCATGTCACTCTCTGATCATTTAGATTTCTATCAGTAGGTGACTGACTATGTGGACTGTATGTATTATACCTGAATTAAGCGATGACACAGCTGTCAGGACTCTCACCGACCATGCACATGTTTCAGGGTTCGATGCTCACCTGATATCAGTGGTCGGCGTGCGAAATTTGGACTACCGATATCACATGCTGAAAATTCCATCCTTGTACCAAAAGTACGGTGTGGAATCAAGCTATAATCAAATTAATTAAAATTTAGGCTTTTTGATGATGATACGGCATTTGACATCAGCGACAATGTCAGTTCTGGTTTTTCTAACATGATTCCAGTTACTTGGTATTTTCTCTATGCAACCTCTTATAAAATAATGTCCTTCATTCGTAACAGATTGCTGATAAATTGTCTTCGCTTTTAATCCTATTAAAAGTTATCACCAAGTCAAGAGGCAAAGAGCATAGTTCAGGAAGAAATTTTTCAACGAAGTCACTTAGTTAAACCCATTCCACCAAACACTCAAAACAACTGTATTTGATGGCTGGGAACTTGTCAGTTGAATTCAGCCAAGCAAGCAGATTGAAATTTTCTTTATGTCTGCTTGTGACTGAATTCAGCGTAGTTAGTTTGAATGAATGATCACCATAGCATGCACAATTTTTGATACGAGATATTTTTATTTTCATTTTATGAAATTTTTAGCGCATCTTTTTTATTCCTTTAGGTTCCCAGTGTAACATAAGGCTTCAACCTAGAGCCTGGAAGTTTCAGTAGCAGTGGTTGTATTTTACGGGATCAGGTTGCTAGCCTCATGCCCAACTTTCCCTCTTTACCAGTCTTATTACTGGTTCAGCGAGACAAAGGAGTGCGTCATCTGGGGATCGAACCCCGAACCACATGCGTGGTTGGCGAACATCCTACCGCTGTGCCACCGACGCACAATGGTGAATTAATGTTAATAGTGCAACAAGCTAAAAAGACTTGAAATAGTGAGTGTTTTTTGTTTTGCTGAGTACACTTTGTACAACTCGTAAGGTAGTTTACAATTGGGAGAAACTTCATTTTTGCTAATTCTTATATTCTTCTTTACTGTGTGAAGACACCATGTCAGCGATTTTCAGGGACTCGGTTAACATGAAGCACACATTGATACTCAGATAACAGATCCAGTTTAACTTAGATGTTCGTATGGTATTGAAAGTGAACGACTGCGAATTGGGTAATAAGGACAGTGTTATTTAAGGTAAATTTTTAATTCATATGTGACCTAATTTAAAATAAAACTCTGAGTAAAGACCGTTTTAAATGCGTTTCACTGACTCTGAAAGATTTAAACAACGGTGAAATTATTGATACTGTTCATACGAACAAGATATTCTGTTTAAAGACCGAGTCACTTTATTGAATGTGCTAGATATATGATTAAAAAAATGACATTTTATGCTTACAATATCGGTAAAACCAGCTCATATGATTCGTGTTATTAGTCTAATGTGTTCGTCGGTTTCCTACAAACGTACTTTTTTAAATATGAGCTGTTTATAAATTCAATTCCTCCCAGCATCCATTCATCTGGGAATTAGATTTCACTCAAAAGTTAGTCAATTTAAAAATAAAGCATAGCGTTCTACGTAGTCAAGGCAACCAACTGAAATAATAAAGTTATACAACCTGTACACTGATATGTGTATGGGATAGATTGAGAAAAAAGTGAAAGCAAGTGAGTTTTCCAAAACTATAATAAATGAAACCAGTGTGGAGGGAAAAAGCTGAAATGAAAGAATCATGAAGTTATCTAAGTGAAACCACAACAAATTAAATGGTTGTTTCAGATTCCCAACGTAATAATAATAATCTTAAATATTTGTTTCTTTTGATAAATAGAGTGATTTTCACAAAAGCGGAAAGTTATTCAAATGGATATACTCAAAACCTGAAATTCTTTCAGCGTATCATAAACTGTTTTTATAAACTAATACACACTGAGCAATCAATGTGATGTGGCCAACTGTCTTTGAGCTTCAGTATAAAACATGCATGAAACTTTGTTTTATGTAAGAACAATAGGAAGTATCAACAAAGTTAATGGTGTGAATAAAAGTAGCGTTTCATTCGTAAACGTCAGCACTTTCTGTCTTAAAAATATATTGTCCAGACAGTTGGAAGAGGCTTTTCTCTTTGGTCCGATTGACACTTATTTCAAAGCTAAATATGGTGGCTATGCACTTCTCCTGAAATGAGGTTTCTCATTATTAACTTTATCAGCTGTGTTTCGTTTTCAGCGCTATTCCTCACCACTTTTTGACAGTTACAGCTGAAACCAGTCAGAGAGTACCATACGCTTCTCATCATGACCGAGGATAAAGGATAGTAGGCGTGAGCACTGTACAGTTTTGATTGCCTCTTTTAGTCTATTTAGTTTTTTTCGAATTCTGTGCATTCAGTTTACTTAAGAAACTTTGAATGTAAGACACAGAATGGTATAAAAGGGTATCAATTAAACTATTTTTGACTGCTCAACCCAACCATTTTACATCACATCAATTAAAAATTTCATTGAAGCAATCTTGACAGTGATATTTTTGGCCAGTGTGTATTGTTACCCAACGTCTTACTGCAGTGTACAAGTTTAATGAACACAAAGTTTAAATTTCTTCAAGTAGAAAACGTTGAGTGTAGTTCTGTTAATCAAGATCAGAAAGGTTTCACATATCTTGGTATTCTCAAACATTTTCACACTTCATGTTCCCTGAAGATCCTCTAATTAGATCAGCACTTAGCCGATAAAAAGCTGAGACGTAAGAAGTTGTTTTCTACTAAGTTATATACAAATCGTACCGTAGAGAGTGTAATTCATTAGTTATTCAGTATCACTGAAATGAAGGTAACTTGTCATGAATACCAATGAATAAGGCACTCATCCGTGCCTTATTACTCGTGTTTTACGTTCAGTTTTACACTGATTTCAGTCACTGATTAGTAATTAAATAGTGAACATTTTCCGCTAACTAACTATCGACTATTTAATTGATTACTGTGAAAATTATACGAGATTTCTGACGTTAAAATAGATATGTGGAACTGTCTGATATCATCTATTTCATTCTTCTTTAAACCCTGAGCAATATGTACGAAAAAACATAAAATAGAATTATTTTTGTGAATGGAAGTTAGATTGTTTAAACGAGATAATGCATTCATTATTCAGATATTCCATTAGGAATTGAAAACTATTATGTGTGTCTATTATTTTATAGAAATATTAAAATGTTTTGCATAACATGTATATATACAGGCCAGTGTGCCTTTCGAATTCCCCTTATTCTTCTTCACTCTACATTATAATAATAATACTAATAATAAAGATTAGCTATTCCGTAAATGCGCGTAAAAGCTGGCCGCAGTTTGAACTCATGGATATGCGTAAACATTAATTCAACTAATGAATTGTTTAAAAGCATGAAAGAGGTTGTTGCTCCAACAGAAAGATTATCCTATTCACTATTATAATATAACATTCATCCTATTGACACTCAAGTAGCATAAACAGACAAGCGGTAAGTAGGAAATGTGGAATGAAATAATACCTCATACCTCAAGTACGAATTCGAACTTCAAAGTTAACTAGTACTTTATATAACATTTCATGTCTATGTATATTGAAGTCAGTAAAGTAAACAAAACGATTTTCACTCTTAAAAACTAATTAAGGATGGTAAACTATGCAGAATTCAGCAGCCAACTTGTGAAATGCAGAGCTTTGTTCCCACTACAAGACTTAAGGAAATTTGATCTCAGCAAACAAAAACAAACACAAAATTCGTCCATTTTGACGTTATATCGCGTCTGATATTGGACAAATAATTTTGACGCTTTTTATCTTGTTTCCTTTGGTTACTAACAGATAATCTGACAGACTCATAGTCTAATCAATAATTATGTTTACATA